CTCACTTGATTTGTACTACTAGACTATATTGTATTTGTTGAAGAAGTTGTGTCATTATGTCCGAAAACATCATGACTAAATTGTCTTGTTGAACTTGAATCTTCATACTGTGATCCATTCTCAATGTTTGATAATAATTCCATATTCTGTATTGTATAACCAATTTAAGGCATCTGAGTTATAATTTGAACCTGAGAAACTTTACAAGATTGTTGTTGATTTGTAGCAACTGAAGACACCTTATGTTTGCATGGAAACATTTCTTCATCATGTATAACAGGTCTGGACAATATCAGCTTCTTTGTATGCATATTATAACACACGACACCTTTGTATCTCATTACATAACCAAGAAACACAAATTGAGCTGATTTATGTTGCAACTTGTTGTCATTATAGGGCCTTAAAAGTGGATAAATTGCTGATCCAAAATTTTTAAAATGTTGTAGCTCTGGATTTTGACCAAACAAAACTTGATATAGTGACTTCATTTGTAGAGTTTTACATGGCATTCGATTGATTAAAAATGCAACATGTGAACATGCATGATACCAGAACGTTGAATTCAAGTTTGCATCAGACATCAAAGTTTTGGCAGTCTCAACCGCATGTCTATGCTTTCTCTCAGCAAGTCCATTCTGCTGAGGAGTATATGGACATGACACCATGTGAGCAATTCCTCTATTCTAAAAAAATTTACAAACAATTTACTCATGTATTCTCTTCCCCCATATGTCTGTAAGCATTTGATAGACACATTGAACTGATTTAAAATAAAAGCATGAAACTTGACAAATATTTGAAATGCCTATGATTTACTATTCATTGGAAACATCCACAAGAACCGTGAAAATTCATCTACAAAGTTTATGTAGTATCTATAACCTTCTATTGACAATTTTGGAGATGGACCCCATACATCAAAATGGATCTTTTCAAACAAATGTTGTAGCTTTGGATTTTGACCAAACAAAACTTGATATAGTGACTTCATTTGTAGAGTTTTACATGGCATTCGATTGATTAAAAATGCAACATGTGAGCATGCATGATACCAGAACGTTGAATTCAAGTTTGCATCAGACATCAAAGTTATGGCAGTCTCAACCGTATGTCTATGCTTTCTCTCAGCAAGTCCATTCTGCTGAGGAGTATATGGACATGACACCATGTGAGCAATTCCTCTATTCTAAAAAAAATTACAAACAATTTACTCATGTATTCTCTTCCCCCATATGTCTGTAAGCATTTGATAGACACATTGAACTGATTTAAAATAAAAGCATGAAACTTGACAAATATTTGAAATGCCTATGATTTACTATTCATTGGAAACATCCACAAGAACCGTGAAAATTCATCTACAAAGTTTATGTAGTATCTATAACCTTCTATTGACAATTTTGGAGATGGACCCCATACATCAAAATGGATCTTTTCAAACAAATGTGTAGCCCTATTTTGCTTTACAGGGAAATATTGTTTAGTCATTTTTCCATGAATACAAGATACACAGAGAGAATGACAAGAATATGTACTAACTGGAATCTGTGAATTCTTTAACATTAGTGCCAAAATATCTTCTGCAGGATGTCTCAATCTTCTTTGCCAAACTGAAACTTGAACCTTCTTTCCAAGAAAAACAACAACACACTTATTCAACATTGCAACAAAGGAATTGTTGAAGACATTAACTGGTACAGTGAACAACCGCCCACCATCACTTTTTCATTGGCACACTATCACCTTTGTTACTTTGTCCTGTATAAAAAAGACCACATCATCACATATAAACCAGCAACCATTATCCTTACACAACTTCTTAACAGAGAGTAAATTCATAGTAATTTTAGGAACATATAAGACATTTTTCAGTAATAAAGGATGCTTAAAAGTAGATAATGTAGTGGAACCAATATGAGAAACTTTTAATCCTTCACTATTACCAACAATTATCTGTTCATCACCAAGTTAAGGAATGGCTTGATTGAGATTATTGATATTGGTTGTCATATGGTGTGTTGCACCTATGTCAATTATCCACTGATCATTAGCATCAAAACCATGACCATTTGCAACTTGAATACCTTCATTCTAGCCAATATGTGTTTGTGCAGTCATTGCAGCCAATGATGGTGGTGATGGATTCCCTTGGTATGCATAATTGTTCCTATGATAACATTCTAGAGCAATATACCATATTTTCCCATTTGATTGGAAATTCCCACTTTCAGACCTATAGTAGCAGTTTGGAGCCGTATGCCATCTCCTAGAGCAAATCTGACATTTAGGAGAAATACCCAATTTGAAATTAGTGTTGCCATTCCATGTGCCCTTGTTTGCATTCTTGTTGTTTCCACCAAGGAAATTACTCCCACTAGAGTAGTTGTTATGTCCAGAAAAAGTACCTTCACTTCCTCTGTTTCTGTTTCCCAAATTGTTACCACCAAAGTAAGATTTGAAGTTATTTCCACCAAAGCCAGCAAATTTCCTGTTATTGTAATTGTTAGCTCTCTGGTGAGGATGAAAACCTCTATTTCCATTTCCCATAAAACCATATCCTTCGTGAAATCCATTATTGAACTGATATTCTAGAAATCTCTGAGTATTAGAACTTTCTCCTTATTCAAAACCACCTTGAAATCTTGCAGCACCAGAATTTTCACCATTAACATACATCGCAGACATGGAAGATGTGACAGATTGAATATGAGAATCAATTGTTCCTTCTGCACTTAACAGTTGAGCCCTGAAATCTTTCATGGAAATTGAAGTTTCCCTTGCAAGAATCAAAGTTTTGATCATTTCAAATTCAACTGGCAAACCAGTTAATACTACAATGACGTAATCATTATCAGTAATTTTTTCCTGCAGACACCAATTGTTCCCTTATGCCTTTCAATTGTAACAAGAACTTATCCATTGTTTCACCACCATTATGTGCAGTATGAAACTCAATTTTCAACTGATTAATTCGAACCCTTGAAACCGAAGCATATCTTTCTTGCATCACAGTCCAAGCCTCATGAGAAGTCTTGCAACCAATCACATGATCCATAGCATCATCAGTTAGAGTAGCAATCAATAAACTGAGTAACGCTAAATCCTTTTTGATCTATTCTTTATATGCCAAAGTTATCTCCTTTGTAACCCATGTTTCTGTATTAATCACAAACTTTGGTGGACAAACAAATTCACCACTGAAAAATTCAAAGAGATCATATCCTCTGAGCACTTATTGGAATTGATAACTCCACTTAACAAAATTATCATCACCAAGCTTTACTGTTAACACTCCCAATAACCTTTCAATCTTAACTATAGATTCAGCCATTTTCGCAAGAACTTCAAGAATTGATTCACACCCAAACAAAGTAATCAAGAAATCAACTTTTCTTTAGAAAACACACCAAGAAAACAACTCTCAGACAACTCTATACTCCGGCTATCGGCCTTAAAGGAGTACAAAATACACTTTGGTAGTCAAGAAAAATGGCAATTGGCCTCAGAAATTCTCAACACTCCAATCACAGAGAAGAAATGGCATTTGGGCTTGAAATTCTTCTCTAAACCTAAGCATACGGCTATCGACCTTGATAATTACAAGATTCACAAGAAACTTTTCACTGAGACATTAACACAAACAGTTGATATGGGGAGAAGTAGTAAACGAAACAAAAACCTGATGAAGACTTGAATCTTGAAAGCCAAAGAAACAGATGAATTTAAGAAATTATAATAATTTCTTAAAATATAAAGTGCAGATTTTGTGGAGCCAAAAATATTCACAAGGTGACACGTGGATTTTTGGATAAAAGAAGACAAAAATATCCTTGAGGCATACCGGGATTCCTATGCACGAGCAGCGGGCAATCATCCGTTAACCAAGTCAAAAATGCCCAAATAAGGTAACAAATAAAAGTTATTTCATCCATATACCCCACAAGGTAACCATTCCAAACATTCCATTTAAATTAGATTAATTGGTGAGTTAATGGATTTATTTCCTAATTAATCCATTAAATCACCAATTAAATGACCCATTATGCCAATTAATCCCCCATTACATAACCCATTACCCAAAAAACCCCAAATGGCCGGCCACCCTAGTTGATCTCATCATATTCACCTATTTTATCACATTAGTTAGCTAGTTAATTTGGCAATAATTTTATTTGCTAAATTAATTAGTCAATTATTCCCATAACTCCTAAATTTAACCTAAATCAAGAACCCTATCCCTATAAATAGGCTCTCATTCTCACCAAAAACCTAATTCCAACACTTTGGCAAAAATCCCAAAATTCTCTAAACACTCTTTCTCTCTAAATTCTAACTTTGGCATCGGAGGTTCTTCGGCCAAAGCCCCCCCCCCATTCATCGTGGGCGCGTGAGGCTCTTGGCCTTAACCTAAGGTGTTAATTGTTTTGTAGGTGCAAAATCATCCAAGATCGAGGAGGAAGAAATTTGCATCCACAAATTGGTGCTTTCATTGAGAGTTGAAATCCATACTCGTAGAAGACTCTCGCATAAAAAGGTTTTTTCTTTAGTTTTTAGTCCATTTGAATATTTTTCATACGTTCTTATTATTAGAATTTTTTACTTGCAAAGGTTCTTTAATAAAACGTATAAGCAAAATATAATGGCTAGAAATTTAGAAAATTCCACAAATGAAAATTCTAATATACAAGAAATGGGATTGCGGAGATCCATAAGGCAAAATGCGACAATAAGGGGAGCGGCATCACCACCACGAGTTTCCACCATGGGAACCACCGCGGTGGCTACCTCGGTAGCCACCCACGGCGAGGTCCATGGTGCCTTCACCACGGCCACCATGGAAACCACCGCGGTGGCCACTTCGGTAGCCATTCGTGGCGAGGCCCATGGAGCTTTCACCATGGCCCGAGCCATGCCATCCAAGGCTCACGGTACCAAGACCACGACCCAAGCCGTGCCATCCAAGTTTACGTGGACCCAAGCCCAAGCCTCGCATTCACATGCACCGCGCATTGAGCAGCCCATCCCCGTGGCAAGCCGCTTCTGTGACCGCAGCTGCTCCCGCGAGCAGCCACTCCCGTGTCACCGCCCAGAAGCAGCACTTCCGTGGTCCAGCTGCTTCCGTCGAGCAGCCCAATCCCGTGGCCAGCCTGCCCCGCCAAGCAATTCTCTCGTGGCCCAGCCTGCTCCTGCTGGCAGCAGCCTTTCATAACCCCACCTGCTCACGACGCAGCCCACTCCCGTGTCCAGCCTGCTCCGATCAGCAGGTCCGACTCCGTGCCCAACCTGCTCCGTCCAGCAGCCCATTCCGGGCCCAGCCTGCTCTAGCTGCTCTCGCGGCCGCAGCCAGCTTGTTCTCGGACCCCCCTGCCCCGACAAGCAGCCCCTCCCGTAGTCCAGCCTGCTTCATAAAGCAGCCACATCCCGTGGCCCAGCCGTTCCTGCCAAGCACCTGTTCTGTGACCCACCTGCCGGACGAGCAGCCCACTCACGTGGCCCAGCCTCGCCCCGCGGCGTCTGCTTCCGTCCGAACAGCCCATTCCTGTGGCCAGCCTGCTCCTGCCAAAGCAGCCTGCTTCTTGACCAAGCCTGCTCCCACGACAGCCTACTCTCACTGCTATCCTGCCCAGTGGCTTCCAAGCAGCCAAAGTCGGCCCAAGACTATCAACATCCGGACCTACCATCGAACCGGGGGCATTCTACCACATTTTTCGCGGGTTTGACATTTCCCACTCAAATCTCGCGCCCGAAGTCTACATTTTCATACCCAAGGAGGCGCATTCCTCCAAGCTCTTCCAATCCAAAGGCGAACAACACTTGTCTCGACAAGTATAAGTGACGAGCGCCCTTGCACAACAGACAACCTTGGTGAATAACTTTGCAACCACAGGATCCAACGTCCCCGAACGAGGTATCCCGTAGGACAGGCAGACGACATTCCAGCAGCGTCCCGGCAAGCAGCCACGAGCCGAATGTTGGGCATGTACATTCCGGTCTTAGAGCGCGAAGGACATGCACTCTCGACTAGGCCCACGGAGGAGCATAACACGGGGGTTATACTCCGATAGTCAACATGAACAACCTTCCGGGCAAGTGTCTATTCGCAGCTAAGCCCACAAGGAGCGTCCTCCACTCACATTAGAGTAGGAGCCGACGGACGGAGAGAAGCAGTCACTCAATCCCTCAAGTTCAACCGCAGCATGCGAAGAACTCGCTCGCCGCTACTAGAAATGGCAATCACAGCACTGCATCGCGCCATAGACGACCAAACACATGGGAAGCCAGCCTGACCAGCAAGTCTGGACTGGAGGCAGCCGCTACCCAACAAAGGCAAATCCGGAAAGTAGAGAGACTCTTGACCAAGCGATTGCATGATTTCCAACGCAACGGTCACCGACGACACACTACGAAGAAAAACCAAAAGCAGGTCAGTCCCCTTCACGGGAGCAGATTCCAGCAGTTCAGCCCTCTTCGGAGTTTCAGGGCCAGACACGGAGAGAAATTAATGAACCTTACCAAAAATATCCTTTGCGAATATGATTTATCGAAAACCGCCGACGATACATGAGCAAGATTGCACACAACTGTACAAGGCGAGGGGCGCAATTGGTTCTACACCGGTTATAACTATCGCAGATCAAGAATCTTTGTTCACCAAGAAGATGCCAAAGGAGTCGCGAAGAGTGAGGGAGTTCACGTAAAAAGGCAAATCGCTTCGCGGATGCAGCCGACTCGATAGCTAAGCACGCCGTCCAGCTAAACTTCCAAAAAAGACCACCGCTATTCGGAAGCTTGGATCATAAAGAAGATCTAACTCTGACAGACTCTTTTGCTTTAGCAGAGAACATGTACTTTGGGATGAGGCTCGCAATGCACATTCAAGGACTTAAAGAAGTACTCGACATCACCTCCCTAGAAGCAGCGGAGGACTTATTCGCATGTTGACGGTATCTAAGGTAGCAATAAGCTCTACCATCATGCGAGAAGAGCTGGGCCCGACTACCTGTATCTACATTTACCTGCAGTCATCAATCAGACGCACTATTCTGCCGATCCAAACCGGCGACGATAAAGGCGTAGACCCTGGCAGATGCAAAGTTTCTGAGAACGCAATAACTCGGCCCAACGATGCCCCGAAGGCAGTCGAGCAACTTTAGCTGCACATATTCCCTAATGAGATTTCTGCTTCCATGTCAACGCATCAAACTCAAAGCTTGCGAGCAGCCGTGGTTTGTGGAACCGACTACTTCACCAAATATGGAAGCAGAGCCCATGACGACACGATTCAGACGGACATAGAGCGCTTCATATGGAGGAACATCATTTACCGATTTGGCATCCCTTAATCCATCGTCACCAACAACGGCCTGCAATTCGTGGGCAAAGATTGACGAAGTTCTAAAAAAATATGGCATCAAGCAGCATATCCATGCCGAGATATCTTTAAGGCAATAGGTAGGCCGAAACATCCAAAAAGATGGACTCATCTGGGAAGGTCCATACAAGCTCAGCAGAATAGGCGGTAAGAGTAATTATACCCCCGTACCATGAAACGATGAAAAGATCGAAAAGTAGTGGAGCGCCTACAATCTGAAGAAGTACCATTGTGACCTCCGACTACATCAAAGCCGAAGACTTAAGAAGCTCGACGGCACCACCTCATAAGTCGAGACTATCCAGTTGTTATGCAGTTCCTACCTAACAGCTAAGTTCTCGTCGTTTCACTCGTTTTTCAATGAGGAATTCAGAAGTAATCACAACTTGGCTCGGCTGCATGCTTACACAAGTGATCACTCCAGCACTTCAAAAGAAGACTGTGCCCTTCTTAGGGACCATCGCAATTGCACCCCCGAGAGAGACAACCATGCTCTCTAGTGCGAGAGGGTAAACTAATTGCCTCTCCAGGGCGATAGGGTAACCAATTCCCGACACCCATATGGGTCAGCTCTCCAAGACGGGAGATAAGACTTAACGCGTCCGAATTATTCGCAGAGAGATACGGTGTCTTGAAAAAAACTGAGTCGTAAAGGCGTAGAGTTGCTTGAGAACTGTGGCGCCTAGCCTTCTGGAATGCGCAACGGTCCTGGCATCAGAGCACCTGGGAGATACTGTAACGGCTAAGGCGCATAGAGTTAGTCACGTTAGAGTATTAGCGGGCTAGTATAAGACCGTCGTCTGTCCTGGTGCATTGCAGTCGACAGAGGAGCAGATATCTACATATACCGCGAGTGTACGAAAGGAGGTCCACATACTTGGTCAGCCGTCGGAAGACAGAGTGTAGAGCGCTGGAGGATATTTCGATAAATGTGGCGGGCTTATAGACCGAGACAGTTACCGGAGTCTGACATATTATATAGGTTGACGTTGTAGCTAAAGCGAGAGCTGGACTCGGACGCGATACCTGCGTGAGAAAGACGCTACTACATGGGAGGACACACGGGTGCAATTTGGGCTGCTGTGGCCTAACAATCATCCGATAGCCCGTGAGCGTATATCAGCGGGTATTCGACGCTCGAGATAGCGAGCATTCGGATAGCTGATGATGGAGTAGCGAATCTAAGATTAACGGGTGACTACAGGGGAGGGTGCGGAGGTTGAGTGACGAAGGTTGTGTTATTCACAGAGAATGGAACGTAGTGGTAGTGGCGCTTGCTGCTAGAGCTGGGGAATGTTTGACCATAGTAGACGAGCTGCATCTCATTACAGATGAAGAGGGTGGCTTGTAGTGAAGATCTAATCGGATCGTTGGAAGGAGGGATACAGCGTCATGAGAGAGAGGCCACACATACACACTTCGACAGGCACGCCTTATCACCGGGACCTGACACACCGGATGGGATGAGCACACACACACGTAGCAGCTTTGCCCTGTTAGGGGCACGATGATAAAAGGCTGGCACTAGACGTTTTTACATGCGCGTGCCAGATGCATACGTGGATCGGGCGTTAGGAGTCGACGGTGAGGACGTCTTAGATGTAAGGAGCAACAAGCTAGAAGCTAGAGGCACTCATCAAACAGAGTGCCGCGTGTGATGTAGTCATTGAATTGAGCGAGTCTCTGCCTACGAGGACAATGGACTTAACGATTCTCCAATAAGAGTCAACTTGTGAGCAAAGCCCAGGGAACCAACTACCACCAAGTCCTAACAGTGGTTGTGAGTAGGCTGCTAAGCATATGCACGGAATGTGGGGACGATGGACAGGTGAGACGAGCTGACCTAAGCAGAGTAAGCGAGGGTGAACGAGAGGCCTAGATGAGCTGGAAGAGAGTGTAAGGGTACTGCCGTAACAACAGGTCGTCGGATACCGCTATGCTAGTATGTACTGACGAGGGAGAGTAGGAATCTGAAGTGGGCGTTATTATGGCACGCTGAGATTGGATGGGTGAATATACGCGGGCCAGGAGCCTCAGGGGAGGCGCAGGTGCTTCATGCGGAGGTGTGCCGATCATCGAAGACGTAATACGGTCGTCAATGAGCTGCTGGCGATAGCAGTAAGTTGGTTTCGCACGTCACAGACAGACAGGGAATTAGAGATCGTCAGCAGCGAAGACGATTCAACGAGGCATAGCCAGTAAAGCCCTGATAGCGGAGTGCAGGGTGGACTGTAGCGTATTAGCGTTCTGGTCTGGAGTAGTGCGTTGATGAGGAAAGGTCAGAAGCAGCGAGTGCGGGAGCTGCACACGGTGCACATTGGGCGTCAATGTGCAAGCTTCGAAAGGTTTCAGATCGGGAGACGAGTGGCTCGGGAGCGTAGGGGACCGGGAAGGCTGGATTGTAGAAGGAGATCGAGGCAGGTATAAGCGGTAGTAGACCAGCGGCGTGGGAGTGGGAGATTAGAGGAGTCGTGATGACCGTGGTGGTTTTAAGGGGGAGACATTAGGCAGACGAGTGACTGGTTTATATGACAGAGAATACGAGGACTATGAGAGTATCAGTGAACGCGATAAGAAGGAGAGTGATATGGTATGATCGAGCTAGGTTAGCGACAGGAGGGATCGTACGTAGGTGTAATATCGCTGAGCGCGATCGGCGAACAATAGGAGCGGAGCGAGGCATAATGGCACTACGAGAGATGGGCGGCTAGCGAGTAAGGGGCTATGGTAGACTATTGCAAGATACGGACAATAGCGATGGTGCTGTGAAGATCGAACCGCAACGAGGAGAGCCAAAGAGACGGCAGCATGCGTTGCAGGGCCTGGGACGGACTACCACGTCAGCCGAATATACGAAGAGGCGAGGATCGGCGAAAGGAGGACATTAAATAATGGAGGGGATACAAGAGAAGAGTGGTCGCCTAACGGCTACCTATGAATACTATTATAGCAAGCTTGGACATCCCACGAACTTACCGGTCGCCACACCTTCAAGTAGTCCGCGACGCTCTACACGTATCATCCGGTGGACCCCCGGTGCCCTCCAGCCTGGGGTACTAGTCCGTGGACACCGGAAGACAGCGACGGCGTCGGGATACTTTGCGTATTCGTCCTGATTCGAGGGGAAGGTACTTGAACGGTCGGTGGAGTGGTGGCATGGTTCGGTCAGAACCAGACAGTGCGTTATAGTGCCGATTACGAGTACGCTAGTTGAGAGGAAGAGGAAAGGGTAGCCAGGGAAGGATAGAGGCGCTAGGTCTGAAGGGATAGCATCGACCAGAGATTGGTAGCGGGAAATAAAAGAGCGGGACAGATACGTCTGTGCCTAGAGAGACTAAGTAGCTAGAG